ACCGTATCCAATAATATAAAACTGACCTTTAGTCTTTACAAAGTGACCTGTCTTGGCTGTATTCTAGTGGACAAATATTTTGTAAAATACAGTTGTATTTCAGTTATAATACATTATATATGTATATACGTTATTACTATTTACAAATAAGTTTTTGAATTTCAGTTATTTTCCTTAAAACATTGAACAGTAAATAAAGAAGTATAGAAAACAGCTATATCTTCTAGTTACAAACTTTGTACTCATTTACTGCTTCGTGTAATTTGCTAAGCCTTATCAAATTTTGCATGTGGAGAATATACAACAAAATAATTTTTTTTACATTTTATATATACATTTGGAAATTTAAAAAAAAATAATAAATTACTGTATCAATGCCACAGAATTCCACTGTAATTTATCAAGCTGTAACTAAGTTGTATTTGGGTCTAAAAAAATATAATTTTTGGAGCTCACTAATGTATTATCTTATTGCTTGGAATGTATCATGAAAACAAAGAGTTTCCTGCTCAAATACTTCACAGAAGCTGAGAAAATCACTAGGTGACATTCTGAGCTTTCGATTGGTTATGTAAGCAAGTGTTTTCAAACAGTGGAAGAAGTGGGCTGGGCCACCTTGGTTGATTCAATAAATGTATTAATATCTCAGAAAATAGAAAAGATAGGAGGTTCTTCTCTGAAATTATAGCTTATCAGTATTGGTAATTTGAGTATCTAATTCATAAGGAATATAGACTTTGCATTTGGACATCACAAACATCTAATTTGAAATCATGCCATGTGGAAATTGAAATTCAGGATTTTTTAATATTTAAATTAATAAATTAATTAATGTATAATATTAAAATTGGAATTATAATCTACAATTTTATATCAAACTCGGTGACATGGCCTTTGACCCATGTCAGTAGGGTTAAGAGAAGTAAGTGCGAGTATAAAAGAGGTTTCAAAAGAATGGAGGTATGTAAAATATATTGAAATCTCAGCAAATCAAAAAAGATGGGAAGTTCTTAATTAACCACAATAGACATTGTGTGGTAGGTAGGATAAAATATAAAATGAACAAGACGACATGCCATATGACACACAAAAAAGCATATTTGGCATTTTTTTTTAATATCATCTTTTGAATTAGGAAACTAAAACGTATGTATTATAAACCAAGTTGTTATGCCAATTATATTGACATACAATGATAATAAAGTTTAATTAAATTTGTAAATTAACTCTAAACGTTGTGACATGTACCTTTTCACCTGTCCACTGAAAGATGGTTATGACACACAAAAAAGCATATTTGGCTTTTTTTTAATATCATCTTTTGAATTAGGAAACTAAAACGTATGTATTATAAACCAAGTTGTTATGCCAATTATATTGACATACAATGATAATAAAGTTTAATTAAATTTGTAAATTAACTCCAAACGTTGTGACATGTACCCTTTCACCTGTCCACTGAAAGATGGTTAAGTATTGGTGGAGATGAAAAGAAATATGCTGTAAGCCAGATATTTAATTACAGGAGAATATTACAGATTGGAAGGTTTCACAAAATGATGTTGATAAACATAGAGCATGTGTTTATTTATGCCTAAGTTATTCAGTTACTTTGTGAAGAGAAAATTAATTTTTGAAGCATACTTTTTTATTTCTGTTATTATTATTTATAACTAAGTCAGTTGTGTATTATTTTTGATAATTAATTTAACTGTTAGAAAACCCACATATAAATTCCATAATGCATAAGAATCATAATGTAATGTTATTAAACCATCCAAAGTAATAAATCAGACCGAATTGAACTGTCGGTTAGTTAAGTATTACACTAACATAGGTAAACATATCCCCCAGATAAACCACTGAGTAATAATACATAAACTGAACTGTCAATTAGTTAGGAGTTACATTAACACAGGTAGACACGTCTCCCAGAAAAAACACTGAGTAACAATAGAAGAACCGACTTGTTAGTTGGTTAAGATACAACACAGGTAGAATCAACCACTGAGTAACAACAGTTGAGCTGACTTTTAACACTGGCACACATATACCCCAGATAAAACACTGAGCAAAAACAGCTGAGCTGACTTAAGAGTTAGTTAGTAACACTGAGTAACAATGGTTGTGCAGACTTATCAGCTGACTGTTATTTTAACATTCCTAGATGTCGATATAAATCTGTTGTTACAGTATGGTGGATTTGGGATATGTGTTATTATTTTATGTGCAAACATTTTCTGATTTAAAAAAAAAACATTCTTTCAGATGTTGTGTATGATGGAATAGTAAAGGTTTTTATTAGTTAGTCATTTTCCTAATATTTAATGTTGTGGCATGTTCCAGCTATTTATACAATTATTTAATTGAATGTTTTGTGAGTTTCAAATAATTTAACATATTCTTGAAAGTTATTCACGAGCTCACTCAATGTTGTGTTAAATTAATTAATAATTAAATTTAATTTTGGAATAATAACAGTTCAAGAATCTTGGTTACGATAGTTGTCAGTCTAAGTTTTTTTTTAGGTTTTGTGCTCAAGATTACAAAAAAATTAGTATAACTGTTATAGTATAAAGTCAGAATTATTTTCATTTCTGTGAAATTCTTTGTGTCTGGAAGCCACACATTCTTATTTATTTTAAAAACCTTTACAAATAACTTTATAATTTGATGTAATTGTTTTCAGTGCAAATTCAAATTGAGAATGACTTCCTGACATCTTCTTTCTCTGTCTTGGAAGACCAGCCTATGGATATGCTATTAGGATTGGACATGCTCAAACGACATCAAGTAAGAGTGCAATTCTATTGTAAAATGTTCATTGTATGAACATGCTGTTCATGTATGTACTTAATTAACATTGAACTAATAAGTAACAGTTCTGAAACCACAAAAAACAGAATGTAAATATATTGTTATAATATTGTTTGATTTCACAGTTACTAACAGACAATGTCTGACTACACTAATACATTAATATTTGAGCTTCGAAAAAAAAGACAATGTAAATATATTGTTTTAGTAATGTTTGATTTCACAGTCAGTAAGAGACAGTGTCTAACTGTACAATTATATTTTCTGATAAGGTACTCTTCCTCAGCTCATAAGATTAGCTTTTCTCGTTTTGTACTCTATGCATGTTAAGCAAAGTGCAGCATCTTGTAACAATTGAGATTCTACAAACACAAAAGTCAGTGGTAAAAGCTGTCCACATGACTCGGACATCATTATACAACATAATCTCTAAGGAGCTCCACCTAGAAACGAGGCCAAAATGACATGGCTTTACACATACACTAGGTAATGTATGGAATTTAACATAAACTACTCATTGTAATATAGATATTACTCAGGCAAAGCATAATTTTAATAGCCTTCAATCTTATTTGTCTACAGAGCCATAAACTGGAAAGTGAGACACACTTGCCATGCCCACTTCTTACATCCCAGCTTTCCATGAATTGCCAGTAGTTCTCTATGACATTTTATAGTATGTTACTTACAACCAATAGAAAACCAAATTTTAATGTATCAAATGACATATTATACTATGTTGTTTTCTGTCCATTGTCTGTTTTACCTCCAGTTCTAAACTTCTTTCTCATATAACCTTGACAAGTTTAGCTGAATAGTTAGAAAGCCTAAATAATTACAATATTTATAT